CAGTTGAGGATTTTAATAAGGAAATCCCTCTATTCCTCAAAGTAAAAGTAGGCTCTTTGCCCACTTCCCAGTGGAGGCCAATTTGGTGTCCATGGCAAATGTATCTTGCTCTGTAAGCCTGTATCATGCTCTTACTCTGTAAACCTACCTTTCTCTTCCTCAATAAAATTTGTTTCATGTTTGCCAAAAAAAAAAAGAAAAAAAGGAAAAATAAACCTATCATTTGAATCTGCAATCCCACTACTGGCTATCTACCCCAAAGAAAGACTTTTTAACCTAAGGAAGGAGATTTGTACTCAAATGTTTATAGCAACACAATTCACAATGCAAAGATGTAGAAATAAAACAATCCACGTGCCCTTCAACACATGGATTAATAAATTGCGCTTCATGTATACCATGGAATACTATTCAGCCACAAAAATAGATTTGTGGAGATTTTTACATCTTTTTCAACAAAGTGTATGGATTTGGAGAACATTTTCCTAAGTATCACAAGAATGGAAAAACAATCCTCTCATGTACTCAATACCAATTTGAAACAAGATTAACAATCACAGACCCACATGAGTGTAAATCTCAAATTCAAAAAGGGAGGGAGAAAGGATTCAGTAGCTTCCCACCCAACAGGTACAATGCATGGGATTGTGGCACATTCCTCAGCTACAACTGTTTTAACCCTTCATGTGTAAATGTATAACCTAATGGTTACATAATTTACCTTTTGTTTTTGATCATCCCTGAAGCATTCAACTCTAACCAGACAATTACAATTAATTGAAAAATAAAAATAAAAAATACCCTCGCCTTTTAAGTATTTACTTGTGAGAAAAAAAAGACCTCCTAATCCCAGAAAGTGGGAATAATCCTTCACACATCTTTGTATTTTTTTACTTTCTAAAGCTATCCAAAATAATTACTATAACTACTTTATCTATAACCAGAGACATCTTCTATCATGTTGTCCATAGCAGCCCAGGTTATTGAAAACTCTGATTAGACTCTAATCTTGCAATAGACACACTGAGAGCCAGAACAGAGCAGAATAGTTTCTCTAAGAAAAAAAAAAAAAAATCAGCCAGGAGCAGGGACTCAAGCCTGCCTATAATTCTAGCACTTTTGGAGGCCAAAGTGTATTGGTAGATTGCTTAAGCTTAGGAGTTTGAGAAAAACCTGAGCAAAATCAAAATTGAGACCACCATCTCTACTAAAAATAGAAAAACTCGCCAAGGCGTTCTGGTGAGCGCCAGTAGTCCCAGCTACTTGGGAGGCTGAGGTAAAAGGATTGCTTGAGCCCAAGGGTTTGAGGTTGTTGTTAGCTATGACACTGTGGCACCCTAGCCAGGGTGACAAAGTAAAATTGTATCAAAAAAAAAAAAAAGACAGAAAATAAGAAAGAAAAATCATGAAAGGATTTAGCCACTACTCACACTAAGACTGAGTAATTCACACATCCTCAGGCTGCATATTCATTGAGTAATTTAGGAATGAATCCGCGGTTTGTGGGGAGCTAAAATACTTAGTGGTTTGATGGATTACATTATGGCTTTCTCCAGCAGCTTCCAAGGCAATTTCCAAATCACTGGCAAGAAAATTTTGCTGGAACTGCAAGCAGGGCTGTAAAGGCTCCTCCCCACAGTTAAAGAAGGGATTGTTCCAGGCCTGACTATTCCAGGCTTGGGTGCACCAGGTCTGACTGTTCCAGGAATGGTTACTCCAAGACTGGCTGCTCCAGGTTTGGTTACCCCAGGTCGGGTTGTTCCAGGTCTGGTTGCTCCACACTGGAAGGTTTCCGGATGTGTTCATCAGGCACGCCTGGTGATAGGAAGAGTAGAAGCTTGGGTATTCCATGGGTGCTGAGGCCTTCTGAAAAAGAATGGTGGGTTGACTGAAAGGGCCCCAGGAAAATCAGAATTGTCTGCGGTTAGAGTTGTATGCTTCAGGTATGGACAAACCCAAAAGGTAATTAATTGAAAGTGCTCCAGCCTGAAGCAAGATTTAAGACCCTGCCTCTGGTAAAAATACAAATAATTAGCCGGGCATTGTGGTGGGTACCTGTAGACCCAGCTACTTGGGAGACTGAGGGAGGACAATTACTTGAACCCAAGAGTCTGAGGTTACCGTGAGCTAGAGCGATGCCAAAACCTGGGAGACAAAGAGAGACTCTGTCTCAAATAAACAAAAATAAAAGCAGAACAATTAAGTTTCCCATTACCTGAGCCTGAGTCATACTGTTGGTGTTCTTTAGCCAGTTGTTTTTCTGCCATCTCTTAGATTTCATTCGCTGGTTCTGGAACCAGGTTTTAACCTGCCAGAAAAAGTGACAGGAAATTATAAAATACTTGTAACACCCATGTGTTTTGAATAAAAGCATATTATTAACATTTGTTCCTAATATCTACAACTATCTAAAGCTCAGGGACAAAATTTGATTATCTTTAGTCTTTTTTTTTTTTTTTTAACATTTCTAGACCTCCTACTTTGTCTAATACCAGTATTGCTACCTCTGCTCTCTTTGTTATTTCAACATTTACCCAGTATATAGATATGTGTCTATGTGTGTGTGTGTGTATATATAGGTATTTATTTATTTTCTTTTTTGGAGACAGTCTCACTCTGGCGCCCAGAGTGCTACAGTGCCCTGGTGTCATAGCTCACAGCAACCTCAAACTCTTGGGCTCAAGCGATCCCTTTGCCTTAGGCTCCCAAGTAGCTGGGACTACAGGTACCCACTTAAATACCCAGCTAGTTTTTCTTTGTAGTAGATATGGGGTCTTCCCCTTGTAGGCTGGTCTGGAACTCCTGAGCCCAAGCAATCCACCCAGTTCAGCCTCCCAGAGTGCTAGAATTATAGGCATGAGCCACTGCACTTGGTCTAGAAAGTGGCCTTAAATGTATAACAATGATTGACCTTGTTAGTAAGCAAATGCACACAGATTTTAAAAAAAGTAGCTGGGAGCAGTGGTTCACGCCTGTAATCCCAGCACTCTGGGAGGCAGGGGCGTTGCTTGAGCTCAGGAGTTGGAGAACAGCCTGAGCAAGAAGCCTGGCTAGTTACTGGCGGGTGCCTATAGTTCCAGCTACTCAGGAAGCTGAGGAAAGAGGATTGCTCAAGCCCAAGAGTTTGAAGTTGCTGTGAATTATGACACCATTGCACTCTACCAGGGACAAGCAAATGAGAATCTGTCTCAAAAAAAAATTAGTACTCTGAAAATACATTTAACGTCATTTACAAAACACTAAATCAACATATAATAAGAATCACATTTATGAATTTTAATCAACTGAGCATACATTCACAAAACTTAAAAATTCAGTTTGCCATGCTTACAGGTTATCTTTTTGTTAATGCTGGAAAGAGTTGCTCCTTAGTCAAAAAAATACCATCAGGGCGGGGCCCGTGGTTCAGTGGGTGGGGCACTGGCCCCAAATACTCAGGGTGGCGGGTTCAAACCCGGCCTGGGCCAAACTGCAACAAAAAAATAGCCAGGCGTTGTGGTGGGCGCCTGTAGTTTCAGCCACTCAGGAGGCTCGGGAGGCTGAGGCAAGAGAATCGCCTAAGCCTAGGAGTTAGAGGTTGCTGGTTGCAGTGTGATGCCACAGCACTCCACAGAGGGTGATAAAGTGAGACTCTGTCTCTACAAAAAAAACCCCAAACCATCAGTTAATAAGAATGGCACGAGATAGACTATGTTGTAACAATTTCCAGTTTCAGGTGGCGCCTGTGGCTCAAAAGGGTAGGGCACCAGTCCCATATGCCAGAGGTGGCAGGTTCAAACCCAGCCCCAACCAAAAACTGCAAAAATAAATAAATAAAAATAAAGTCTAAAAAAAAAAAAAGTTTCCAGTTTCATCATTCATATACTTACTTTCTATATCTAGGATGTATTTTCTTTTCTTTTCTTTTTTTTTAAGATAATCTCACTTTGTCGCCCTTGGTAGAGTGTTGTGGTGTCACAGCTCACAGCAACCTCAAACTCTTGGACTTAAGATTCTCTTGCCTCAGTCTCCCAAGCAGCTGGGACTACAGGCAGCCGGGCATTGTATTTTGTTGTTGTAGTTGTCATTGTTGTTTGGCAGGTCCAGGGCTAGGTTTGAACCTGCCTCCTCCAGTGTATGTGGCTGGTGCCCTAGCTGCTGAGCTATAGGCGATGAGCTAAGTGTATTTTCTTTTTTAATACAGATAACTGTCAAAGTACTTCACAGGAGGTGAAATATAGACGATTTATTATTATGATGCCCTAATTTTGTTTATCATACTGAAGTGACAAAACAAAACCCCACCTGCTTATAGCTGAGGTTCAGGATGTTGGAAAGTTCTTGCATCTGTTGGAGGCTGAGGTATTTCTGTCTCTGAAATCTATCGTTGAGTATACACAGCTGGGTGGTAGAGAACACGGTTCTGGTCTTCTGTTTCTTGACCTGGACCTTACCTTCCTTCTTCACTACACTCTTCTCTACGGAAGTGGGTTGTTTTACTTTGGGACTAGTGGAAGAGTCAGGGCTGTCCTGAGCCAGCAGATCCATAGAAGTAGAAAGAGGAGAGGCTGTTGGGAACAAATGAAGTTAATATTTTTCTCTAAAACTTGTTTTCAAATATTAAAATGTTTAAGGCGTAGTGCCTGTAGCACAGTGGTAATGGTGCCAGCCACATACACCTAGGTTGGTGGGTTAGAGCCTGGCCTGGGCCTGCTAAAAGTTGACAACTATAACAGAAAATAGGCCAGCATTGTGGCAGG